TAATTGGTTGAACTGGAGGCAGCTGTGCAGAAGCTGTTTACTTCTCTCCCAGCGCCATATTGTGGGAGAGCAGATGCATAGAATAAGTCCTAATTCGAGTAACTTAGTCTAGTCCGGATTGCTCCCCACAGATCCCCCTTTCTTTTTATTTTTTAGCGTTGATACGCGCCTGTCTTCGGTGTCCCGCGGCACACACTCTGCTCTACTTGCTAGAGTTGCCACAGGCTCTTACAAGTCCTATCAGGCAAACCGAATCCGGGTCCTCTCTTCGCCATGTTGTGAGGAGGTTTTTAGGCGCTGATGCGTGCCTGTGTTCGGTGCCCTGCAGCGCATACTCTGCTCTGCTAGAACTGCCTGCAGGTGTTTACAAAACCTATCAGGCAAACCGAATCCAAGCCTTCTCATTGCCGTATTGTGGGGGAGACTTATTAGTGTTGGTTTGTGCCTATCTTCGGTGACCTGCAGCTCATACTCTGGTCGAGCTGCTTGCTGGCGCTTACCGCCTTAAATCAGGCAGACCGAATCCAAGCCTCCTAATTGTTGCATTGTGGGGAAGCTTTACTGATGTTAATTCGTGCCTGTCTTCGGTGACCTGCGGCGCATAAGCTGCTAGCCGCCCAGGTGCTCATCGCCTCACTAATCGGGCAGACCGAATCCAAGCCTTCTAATTGGCATGTTGAGGGGAGGCCTTATTTTTCTCTATTTCTCTATCTCCGGGCATTTCTATTTCTCCCATTTTACTTCTGTCTGCCAACATTCCTATTTCTCTTTTACTTCTAAACTTCTGTTTCTCTTATCCCCGCAGCTTTCCGGCACCCCGCCCCGCCGGCGGGTTCCCGGCTCTGCACCGCTTCAGCCCACGCGCCTCTCTCATCTGCGCAGCTTCCCGGCTTTGCGCGGCTCGGCTTCGCGCGCTCCGCGGTCTCCACGCTTAACCCTTTCGCGTCTGAACCACGGCCTACGCCAGCCCCGTTCCCTATCTACTCACGCCCCGTGCTCTCTCTGCACGCGGCGGCTTCCGCGAGTAACACAGCGTAGCTTGCGTCTCCACCACTAGCATTCAATCCAAGTTCCCCGGGCTAGCCTGGCGAATTCAACCCAGCGTACGTCTCCGCCCCACGATTTGGCTTCCTGTCCTTTGCTCCCCGGGCTAATCAGACGGATCCCAATCTGGCTTACGTCTCAGCTTCTGGTTTCAACTTTTCGCCCCCTATTCCCGGGCTAACTTGAGAACCCCAAAGTGGCTTTCGTGTCCGCCTCGGCCTGCCCCCCGCGGCTTCAATTTCCCTAACATTTTTCTCTACCCGGTATGTTTCCCCAAGCTTTCCTCCAACGATATTCCTCCCTCATTTCTCCTGGCCTCTCCCCACAGTCCGCGTCCGAGTCTGTTTGTTCTAGCTTTCACTTTCGCTTTCGCCCTTAGAGATTTCTCCCAGCTTCCCCCTGTAGTCCGTATCTGAATCTATGCCTAGGCTTTCAATAGCTTCTTCCGGCACCCTTTTCGTCCGGCTTTTCCCTAGGCTGTTTGCTAGTCTCTCTCTCCGGTATTTTCCCAGTTCTTCCCATTTCTTCCCTCCTAAGTTTCATATCCGTCCTAAGTTTCCTATCCGAGCTAGGTTTCCTATCCGAGTCACGGCACCATTATGTCGCTCCCCCTCTTCGTGGAGGAACGACACAGGACCCTGCGCTGTTCTTTCGTCTGCTCGGCCCTCCCCGGGTTTGCTGCTGGTTCTTCCCGGGTTGGCTACTATCCCTTCCACCTCCGTGGAAGGGCAGTTCCCCCTGGCCGCATTCCCCACTTCCGCAGGGGAGCAGCACACCGCCGGCCGGCTTTCTCGGGGGCTGCACGGGTTCCCTTAGATGTTCCCCATAGATGTTCCTGGTGCATGCCGTCTCTCTCCTCCTTTATAGTCCTCCTCCGCCAATCCCAACTCGGCTGCCCACACGCCGAGTACGCTGCTCTCCAATCAGGAGCAAGTCCTACAGTTAATTGGTTGAACTGGAGGCAGCTGTGCAGAAGCTGTTTACTTCTCTCCCAGCGCCATATTGTGGGAGAGCAGATGCATAGAATAAGTCCTAATTCGAGTAACTTAGTCTAGTCCGGATTGCTCCCCACACTTTAACCTCAACTGACAATTTGATAAATAACCCTGCCCTGTCTAGAACCTCTGTGCTGAAATCACTATATTGGCAATTTCAGCTTTTTCTGAATTCTCTCCCCTTTTCATCTTTCTGCTATACCCTCAGAGCCATTAACTATTGTAATGCCATCTTTCTTTGTTCTTTGACTCCTTATTCCCAGAGAACTTGTACATGCTGGGTCTCATCAAGGTTCCAGTTTCCTTTTTTTTTTTTTTTTTACTTTCTTGCATGTTATTTAAGAGAGTCCATTTCGACAACTTCCCTGAATGCCAATCTGTATTTTCTGGTGTGCACTGAAGGGCTTCATGTAGATGTTTCATGTACATATCAAGCATAACATGTCTACAGCAGAACTCATTGGTATTCCCCTCAAATCAGCCTCCTTCTGAAAATTTCATCCTAATTGTCTGTACCTACTATTCTCCAGCTCTAAGTTTGGACTTGACATAACTCCACTGAAATATTCATGCTTTATATAGTGGCATTGTACTCCAAGTTTATTTCCACAAAATTGTCTTCTTAGAAAACAAACAACACAAATGTACTTAATGCTATTGAACTGCACATTTATAAATGATATATCTTATGTATTTTACCAAAATAAGAAATAAAATAAATAAGGCATTTTAAATACAGGGGAAACTGTATAGTGTTTCTCACAACAATCATTGCCTCATCATTGAAAATAAGATATTCTTTGGTTCTAGGTTACTCCTCCAAGTTCTTCTGCCACTTGTGTTTCTGTCTTCTGATTCTCACACTATTTTTTGAATATTCTAGAGCACATCATCACCATTGGATCTTTGTCTCTATGTTGTTCCCTCACCCTAGATATGTTCTTTTATTATGTCTAATCTTATTAATGATTCAATTTCTAATCGCTCTTCTGTTAAGTTTCCTACAACTCTCCCTGGCAGAATACCTTGCACACAATTCAATAGTACTATTTCATGTATACTTTTACTACAGTACTTATTATCTTGTATTGTAAGTAGTTCCTTCTACTTTCCTCCCCCAAAATACTGTAAACACACCTAGGGCCAGACTGTGAGTCACTAACCTTTGCATTCCTATTTTTTAGTAGAAGTGATGGAACAAATCTTCTACCTATTACGCATTGCATAATATTGGGAGTGAATAAAAAGAAAGGTGACAAATGGGTGATTTATTCCGAGTGAAAAAAAATGGGACAAATAAAAATATAAAAATTCTTTTTAAGATATTTCATTTAATCCAAGATGCCATTAATTCTCAGAAGTAACATGATATTATATCTTACTGAAAAGAAAAAAAAAAAGGCTGCCAATTAAACTATTCTCCTAAAGCCTTTTAAAAAAAATTTTATAGCTATTAAAAGAGTTCCTTTGGGGCAGGAGTTTGGAACAGCAGTTAAGCTGCAGCTTGGGATGCTTGCATTCCATAACAGATTGCCTGGGTTCCAGTGTGGGCTCACTCCTGATTCCAACTTCCCACTAATCACTGGGAGGCAGCAGGTGACAGTTCAAATACTGCCACCCACATGGAAGACCCAGAATGAGTTTCTGGATCTTACCTTTGACCTGACCCAGCCTCAGCTATTGCAAGCTTTTGGGTGGTGGGCTTGTAGATGAGATGTCTGTTTCTCTCCTTTTCAAAGAAATAATAAATAAAATACTGACAGGAAGAACTCTTTTAGATTGATTTAGATGTGTTAAATTTTAAATGTCATCTGATGCATACAAAGGAAAACACAAGAGAACTTTAAAAAACTTGCAGAAAAATGGAATTAAAATATGTTCATTTTTGTGCAGAAGAATTGAAATCATGTGAAACCATAGTTTATATTTCCATGAACTCTTTGATTACACCTCTGATAGGCAACCTGTATCACCCTGGGAAGATTACATCACTTTCCAAATCTCAATTTCAATTGGTTATGGAATTCCTATAGTGTGCTACATTCAGAGTCCCACTCTTTCAGATCTCTTTTGACTCACTCACTAATGAACGTTTTCTCAATGCTTAGCATACTTTGTACTTCTATCTTCTGATGATGCAGTTATGTTTTATAACTCCACTATTTTCTTCAAATTTTTCATCTAGATTTGACCCCAAATCTGCAGGTTTTGAAACCTGGCAGTTTGTCAATCTTATCAGAAGATGTCAACAGATAGTTTCCTATCAATTAGAACTGATGCCCTTTCTTACATGGTCCTTAAAAGTTTAGTTGACTCTAAACTGTTGGGAAGGAGGTATTTTTAGTCAAGTAATTTAGAAGCCTCTTTCTGCATCACAGTATGTAGCTTCAATGCCCAGCTCCAGTTCCTGACTCCAGCTTCTTGCCAATGTAGACCTTGGGAGGTAGCAGTGATGGCTTAAGTACTTGGGTCCCGACCATCCAAGAGGGAGACCAGGTATTCTCTACTCCCAGTTTAGGTTCCAGTTTATCCTCAGGCATTGGAGGCATTTGGAGAATAAGTCAGTGGGTGAGAGGTCTCTCTCTCTTTCTCTCTCCTCCCTCTCTCTCTGTTTTATCTTTTTGCTTCTCAAATAACTAAATAGAAAAACAAATAAAGAACTGTATTGGTTTCAGTGAGCTCATTTGCAAACAGAGCTGATGCATATCCATGAACCAAATGAAAAAATAAAATATTTTTTTCTAATCCAACTGATTTTCTTCTTTTTACTATTTTAATTTTAATTAGTTTGTTTTAACAGATTCAATATGGCTTAAAGATACAATTCTAAGTACATAATATTACTTTTCTCCATCCCTCCTTTCCTCCCTCCCCCTCCCTTCCCCGTCCCTCCTCATCCCTCCCTCCCTCCCTTCATTTTTTTTTAGTTTTTGAGATAACATATTTTAAATTTACATTTCAGTAAAAGGCTTACTACTTCACCAAGAAGGTTAATAAATAAAAAGCAAAAAGACTCTAGAAAATTAAATATTGACACTTGCTAAGAAGTGATCCTAGGTGTCTTTTTTATATAACACACAGCCAGTCCATCTGCTCTATTACCCATCCATTTGTGTTTACAAGTGTGTGCACCTAGGCGAATTCATGCAAATACAGAGTAATATTTTGAGAGAAATACTCTGCTGAAGTATCTCTCGAAATTCAACATGGAAGAAATGTTTTGCCATTAGCAATCATGTATAACTACACATGATGACTTTGCCTTCCTACATCCACAATCATGATCTTCATCATTTTAGTACCCTTAATATTCATCAGTTTGTCCTGTTTGACTAAACTTGTATTTATCATTTCCTCAATTGAATCAAATGTTGCTGAGAGTAAAAATGCTACTATTCATTTAACGGGAAGTTTGATAATCTTGTGCTACAATTGAATTAGTCACACCAGCTTTTTATTACTTTGAAAGTTCATTAATTTATTCTGTTGCAATTTTCCTTCATTTCAGCTACAACGCTTGGTTTCTGATAGCCAATCTTGTAACGAACATCTCAGTAATAGATATGTGAATATCTTTTATGAGTGGATCCCATTAAAGCTTTAGTTGTTTTTGCAAGAAATTATGGAATTGTATTCATTCCTCTTCTGATGAATATTTGCTTCATTAATAGCAAATTCATACCCCACTGCTTTTGCCATGCTCTTCTGAGTACAAAATAACTTATTATTTCAGAGCTGAATCACAGAGTAATCTCTTTGATGACATTTTCAACAATGCACATAGCTCAAGTTAAGTGACAATATGAATAGCCATGATGAAGTTCCCACATATGCTGAAAGTAGCAAATATATCAAAATTTAGTCAGCAGTGATTTAAGTTGCCATCAGCTATTAAAATGTTAGGAAAAAATGTGCCTCATAAACAACAAAATATTGTTGATTCCTAGGGAATTCAGCACAAAGATCATTATAAAACTATTTTTTCTCAGCTCACAATTCCACCAGTTAACTTCTCTCTCAGGTGACTTTGCTCTCTACACTATGGGGAATTGAGGTTTATAAGTGAGCTACTGATGTACTCACCTGGCCACTTTACCACAATGCTCATCTTGACCCTTTTCTTATGCTTACACCTTAGAAGCAGAGGTATGTTTTTCTGTTTCCAAGATTAAGCTCATTTTCTCTTTGACAAAACTGTATACAGATAAGCTTGTCAGGTGACTGCGATGTAGGGGTCTCAGATTAGTTGGCTAAATAATAAGTCTTCCATTTTCATCACTACATCTCCACTGGGACTTTTCATGTTGCTATAAGTATGCCCATGGGAAGTACACATTTCTTGTTTCTTCATTCACTTCCTTTAAGGCAATCATTGTTAATAAAGAGTTGTTTACCTTTTAAAGATTTTTTTTTAAAGATTTATTTTATTTATTTGAAAGACAGAGTTAGAGAGAGAGGTAGAGACAGAGAAAGAGAGAGGTCTTTCATCTGCTGGTTCACTCCCCAGATGGCCACAATGGCTGGAGCTGCGCCAATCAGAAGCCAGGAGCCAGGAGCTTCTTCCGGGTCTCCCACACGGGTGCAGGGGCCCAAGGACTTGCGCCATCTTCTACTGCTTTCCCAGGCCATAGCAGAGAGCTGTATTGGAAGAGGAGCAGCCGGTACTAGAACCGGCGCCCAATGGTATGCTGGCACTTCAGGCCAGAGCTTTACCAGCCGCACCACAGCAACGGCCCCTACCTTTTAAAGATTATATTCAAATGAATCCAGATGCTCTAAAGCATTTCAAATTGAGGACAGGATAAAAGCTCAAAACAACAGTATCTATTGCCTGCACAGAAAGGTATTCTGCTTACCTTGATCCTGCGAGGAAAGGGAAAATAGAAGGATGAGAAAGAGAAAAATAATGAATGATAAAAGAGCATCCATTCAAAACTGATGTACATGCACTAAAATGAGGTATGGACAAGAGGCTAAGAAAGTTTCTTACTGGCTGGTGCTGTGGCTCACTTGGGTAATCCTCTGCCTGTGGTGCAGGTACCCTGGGTTCTAGTCCCGGTTGGGGCGCTGGATTCTGTCCTTGTTGCTCTTCTTCCAGTCCAGCTCTCTGCTGTGGCCCAGGAGGGCAGTGGAGAATGGCCCAAGTGCTTGGGCCCTGCACCCGCCTGGGAGACCAGGAGGAAGCACCTGGCTCTTGGCTTCAGATCAGCGCAGTGTGCCGGCTGTGGCAGCCATTTTTGCGGGGGTAAACAACAGAAGGAAGACCTTTCTCTCTGTCTCTCTCTCTTACTGTCCAACTCTGCCTGTCAAAAAAAAAAAAAAAAAAGTTTCTTACTTTTCTTCATAAGCTATGCACACGTTTGGATCTTCCAAAAGTGTTCCTGGAGTTAGTATATCATCAGAAGTCATAAGGTATAATGGTGAACTTTTATTTCAAGTGACTTGTAAACAATTTAATTCTGTTCATTTCAGTCTCAAAAATTTGAAGTGTGTTCTATACTTGCTGCCTCCACTTCCTTTCTCAATGTTCTTTACTCCTTAGCTCAATGTATTTGACCTTCTGCCCCTACACAAATGAAAATGCATTTCTGAAGGTCACCAATGATAATCACAAAACAAAATGGCCTTTCTCTGCTTTATACTTTTCATCCACTATGCATCAACCTAACAGTTTTGACTACCCATCCTTGAAATTCTCTTTCCTTCTGAATTTCCTAACGCTGATCAGGGCCCATCAAATACTTATTTGTGTTGTTTTTCTTATAAGAAGCTCAAATTTTACAGAAGAAAAAAATTAAGGGAGGTTAGTAAAAGAAAGATGTAATATTAAGAGAGAAATCTCCCAGAACATCATACAAAGGAAGGAATTTGGAAACACATAACTTTCTAACTCTGAATTTCCAAAATGATTTTCTTCCATGGAGGGTAAAGGGGTTAAGATGAAGTTATTTATCAGGCAGTAGATGGTAGAAATGTTTTCTCAAGCATAAAGAGAAGAAAATGAACATGCTAGCTTAGCTCTTTCTTGTATGCCAAAGGATTACTACCATTTGTTAGCTTTTAGAAGTCATCAACCAGGGGATTTCTTGATTCACAGTGATTTTCCCATATCTGGGAATATCCCATTATAAAAGCAGAAGTGGATGCTAAGTCCCAGAAAATTGTTTAAAGGAGCCATATTTGTAATTTGAATTTACTACTGTAAATATACATGAATATCCATGGTAGACATCTTACCCAAATTGGGCAGATAGATTTGGTATCCTTAGAATCTGAAATTATAAAAGAGACACAAATGTTTGCTGGTTATTTTACTTATGCCATGTTAATAAATTTCAGTACCTGTAGAAAAAGAGGAGTTTTTCATACCACTTACAGTTACCCTAGACCTTGCCCTTCATATACAGTGCACTGCTCAATCCTTTAATTAAAGGTATAATTCAATATTAAATACAACATAAAATCAGAGAAGTTATCATTAGCTGATCCCTCATATAACATGCCAAACACACATTAAGAGCGGGACATATTTTTCTCTTTGGCTGTTGCACAGAGTTTGGATTGTGGACAGATCTAAACCACAGGAACATTCTGATAGGTAAATATTGTTGGAAAATGTTTCTGTTTCAGCTTAAACGTGATTCTCATAGCATGTCATTAGAAAGTTCAATCTGTTTGTTCCCTGTCTCTTAACCATTTGTTCTCCTTATTGTTTTGGCTCTGAGTATGGTTGTATATTCAGTAATTTTTCATTGTCTATTCTTTATCACTCACCTGTGAATTGGCAAAATATGATTATCCATACTGTACAGATGGTGAGGCGAAGGTATAATGCCATTTAAAAGCTGGAAAGCAGAGTTGAAACCAGAATTTATGATTCCCTGAACCTCATGTAGAACAGTATTTTCTATGATATCTCTGCCTTCTTTTTAATGTCCATGAACAAAAGGCTGCATATAATTTCCATCTCAAATACAAGTACCAACTACATTTTTTCTATACGTTTGAGTCTTTCACTTTAATGGGAACATGACAAATATAAAAATATTGAAATGCTCTATAAAGATATTTGTTTCCCAAGCTCAGTCACAAACATCATGTCAATTCACTCTTATATCATCTTTTATTTTTCTTCTGTTAATGGTGTCTAAAATATAATTTTAGAACACATTGTCTTCTGTGTTATACCTAAATTTAATACCTTTCTTGTTTGATTTCTCATATATACCATATTTATTAAGACAGTGTTCTTTTGTAGAAAAAAAGTGTGTTGTTTAAAGCAACATGCAGCTAAGCATTTAACCTATGTGCCAGGTTTGAAAACCTGTCAGCTCAGTCACCCGGGGTAAATCAGTTTGTTCCAAGAAACAGGACAACTCAAATTAAACTTATTTTGCTACTAGTAAAGAAAGGAAGGCCAGAAGGAGAAAAAATTTGTGCTGATAACACTTTTGATCTTATTTCTAATATTTATAAAGGGTTTCTTCCTTATTAACAACTAAGTCCTGGGAAAAAACTTACTGTCTTCACTGAGTATGTGTTTTTCCCTGTCTGTATACTTGCAGGACCAATTCTGGAATAACTAAGTTAACTGAGCACACAGGATAATGTCACAAATGATTTTTCAGAATGCAAAAACCAAAATAAACTTTGCCATGGTTGTCACCTACAGAGTATCTAAAATTATGATTCTTAAGGGTTTTCAAAGTTTCATTTACCACCCATTGTCATTCAGACTTTTTCCGTCAGTTAATGAAGCATAGGGGCCAACGTCATCCATGTGATTCCCATCTGTCATCGTGACAGTGATGTCAAAGCCCCAAGTGAAATCCCTTTCTTCATTCAGTTCCTATAGCTTGATATTAGCCAGGTAATCGAGCACAACTGCTGGGCTCTTGTGTTTTCAGATGAGGAAGCCAAGGGCAAGTGACTTGCCCTGAGTCACACAGCAAGACATCATAAGAACGAGAACAGGTCCAGTAGCCTTGGACTTAGCAGACGTTACCAAAGTACTGAAGCATACATACCACCGTCCCAGCTAATTGCTTTCACTGACATCAAGTGGGTCACCTTCTATTATCTTTTTCTTTTTAAGCAGAACTCACATCCTCTTTTTCTCTCCCTCTCGCTCTCTCTCTTCTTTTTTTCTTTTAAATAGGCAGGAGGAAATGCTGTTCTCTACTTAGTGTGTCTGGTAATTATCTTCAAGGAAACCAGAATATAAATTTAAAGTACTCATTAACATGCTGATTAGAAATTTCTCTCAAAGACTCAAAAGGCTGGAAGAGACCCCCAGAGATCATCTGATTCAGCCCCTGACTTCAGGCATGTTCCACCTAAACAGTTTCAGGCAGATGGGAAACTATATTTATGACCCTTAAGGAGAGAGTCCCCAACCCTCCCTTGCTAGCACCACCCTGGGCTTAGTTCTGCTTTTCTACATAATGGATTATGTGAAACTTATAGGAAAGAATATGTCCTACCTTGTAATCTCAGAAATTCCTAAAATGAATGAAATAGCCATAACAGTGCTTGTATTCATTTAACTTTTTATCTGACCAACATTTCTAATTCTATGTTGGGAAAGTCTTCCTGGTCAATATGTGTTCTTCTGATATGAAATCTCTTGCAATTCATTTTTCATTTTAAAGCCATATCCCAGAAGGTATTTAATCTCTCCATAATTTTAATTGTCAAAGGTTTGCCTTTTAATGTTTCTTATTATTGCCCCTTCAATGTAGATTGTGTCCCACAGAAATACTAATATTTTCTCCCAACCCATGCCTTACAGCTCCAACCAGCATGATCGTAGACTGGGTTGGACGGCAAAAGAATGGTTTTGAAAGGCTTAGAAATCAGAGATGATGTGGTAATGTGTATCTATAATGATTGCTTTCATCTCCCTCTAATTTGTTTATGACTTTATATAAGACTTCATAATATCAATCCCAGTTTTGCTTTACTCCTTTTAGAAACTTATACCATCTCTGCCCAATTATGCTTCAGACAAAAATAACTTTCTGTCTTCATTAGAATTAGGATATCTTCACTAAAAATATCAATGGATTCACTTCTAAATCTGCACATTGAATGGAAGAAAATATTTCCTGAAGAAAAAATTCTTAGCCCAAATGTACCTGTCAGAATGAGAAGAAGTTTGTCCAAAGTGTTTGTCTCTGATATTCATACAATCAATCTCAATGAACTATGTGAATTACATCCTGCTATTAAAAGTGGTGGAAGCATCTGGTCATTTCTTCATATGTCAAAATATCCAAATGTAGGAGTAGCAGCTGCAGATTTCTGAGGGATTGTCTTCCAGATAGTCTCTTTATTCTCTGCTTATTTGTTAAGACAAAACCATGCCGGTGCCGTGGCACAGTAGGTTAATCCTCCACCTGCAGCGCTGGCATCTCATATGGGCACCAGTTTGAGTCCTGGCTGCCCCTCTTCCAATCCAGCTCTCTGCTATGGCCTGGGAAAGCAGTAGAAGATGGCCCAAGTCCTTGGGCCCCTGCACCCACATGGGAGACCAGGAAGAAGCTCCTGGCTCCTGGCTTAGCATCAGCGCAGCTCTGGACATTGTGGCCATTGAGGAGTGAACCAACGGAAGGAAGACCTTTCTGTCTCTCCCTCTCACTGTCTGTAACTCTGCCTCTCAAATAAAAAGAACCATGTTCCTGGACAAGCATTTCCTGACAACTGGATCATCTGGACTTCTAGTTGTAGATCTGCTCTTCAATGCTCACATGTGTCAATTTTTTATAATGGGTCCTGACAGAACTATTTGTAAACTGAAGGGCCAATAATAAATGACTTTTTTTTTTTTTTAAAAAAAGATTTATTTTATTTATATGAAAGACAGAGTTACAGAGAGAGGTAGGGACAGAGAGAGAGAGGTCCTCATTCATTCCTCAAGTGGCCACAACGTCCAGAGCTGAGCCCATCTGAAGGAAAGAGCCAGGAGCTTCTTCTGGGTCTCCCATGTGGGTACAGGGGCAAGGTACTTGGGACATCCTCCACTGCTTTCCCAGGCACATTAGCAGGGAGCTGTATTGGAAGTGGAGCATCCAGGACTTGAACTGGTGCCCATATGGGATGCCAGCACTGCAGGAAGAAGCTTTATCCACTATGCCACAGTGCAAGCACCATGATAGATGACTTTTAACATCACTTTAACCTCTGAAATTCTGGCATAAGTCCATTCACAAATGAATGGCTGAAGATAATTATTGGAAATTTTGCTTCTTCTGTCTAGTTTTTTTTTCTTATAATAAAAACTGGGTGGTGTTATGCAAGAATGCATTTTTGAAGTTACTGATAATTATAAGCCAAAAGTTGATTGAATAATTTTAACTTCATATAACAAATATTCATTTAGCCCTTATATGTCAGACATATATGGAGAAAGAAAAACAGGGGCAGGGATTTGATGCAGTGATTAAGATGCCACTTGGGGTGCCCTCATCCCATCCTAGAATACTTGTGTTTCAATCCTGGCTCTGATTCCCATTCAGCTTCCTGCAAATGTGCATGCTGGGAGGCAACAGTTGATGGCTCAAGTAGATGGGTCCTTGTCACACATATGGGACACTCAAATAGAGTTCTTGGCTCTGAGCTTTTGCCTGACCCAACCACGGCTGTTGCCAGCATTTGCATCTCTTTCTCTCTCACAAATAATTTTTACCAAATAATTTAAAAACAGAAAAGAGAAATGAAAGCAGTTATTTAAATGTTTAACATATGTTGATGGCTAGTACAACAAATGTGGCTTGAGTTCAAAATTCAACGCTAATTATGTAAAACATCTATTTAACATCAATGCACTATATCCATATGGCAGAATTTGGAACAAAGCATTAAATCAATTCTGTTTCAATAAAAAATTCCATGTCGGGATTTGTTCAAAAGACTTTTATTTCCTTTACTGGAAAATTGTCAGGCTTGGTACCTTTGTCAAACGAAGTCTGATAGGTTAGTATTTTGGACACATTGAACAATGATACACAGAGTAGCAAAGAATAACATAGTCATGTCACTAAGGTTGACAGCATCCTTTATGAGAAATATTAGGCACCATTGGGAAAGCAATCTGCAACTGGCTAAGCCCCAGGCATATTATACAGGGTCAATGAATTCTTATTTTATTTAAAATTTAGTCTCATGTGTGGTCGGCATAATGGTGTCACTCAAAGATGTACATGGACTAATCCCTGGACCTTGTGTGTTATTTTTTATGATAAGAAGGAATTAAGGTTGCTGATCAGTGACTCTCAAATAAGGAGACTGTCTTAGAATTTCTAAGTGGGACCAGTATAATCACAATGGTCCTTGGATGAAGAGGAATGGCAGGAGAGTCGAGTCAAAAAGAGATTTGAAGACATAGTTATGCTATTGCCTTTGAAGATGGAAGAAAGTGTCATAGAACGTAGAATTCCAGAAGGCCTCTGGGAGTTGCAAAGAGCAGAAACAGATTGGTCACTAAACGACCACATTCCTGTTGAAACTGTAACTTTAACTAAATGAGACCAAGTCTATACTTTTGACCTCCATGACTTCAAAATAACTTTGGGTGCTTTATGTCATGTCTGTGGTTACTTGGCAGTAAGAGGACACTTAAAACAGCTTCCCTCTATTAGAAAATCAAATAAAGACATTTAAGAGAGGTAAGGGCAATGAACAGCCTCCCTTATAAATCGTTATCCTGTTCCAACTGAACTCAAAACTGTACCCCAAACTCTCCACATATCCAGATGAAGCAATTGTTGCCATAAAAACTGTTTTAATCCATAGAGTCTGTTTGACATGAAAATTTAACTTGCTACTCTGAACTATAAGTTTAATCCTCTTAGTACAAGTTATGTTGCTTTTGTGGTTAGTTGGTGTTATTCAAAATAGATTATTCTTAATTTGGTAGAGAACCTTTGTTAATACTTCTTTATACATCTTTATACCATAAATAGAATAGGCCATCCCTAGATTTGATTATTTGTTGCATCATCATAATAGCCCTTTTTTTTTTTTTTTTTTCTGATCTTTTTTTTTTTGACAGGCAATGTGGATATGTGAGAAAATAAAACAAAAAAAAAGGTCTTCCTTTGCCGTTGGTTCACCCTCCAATGGCCGCCACGGCTGGCACGCTGCGGCCGGCGCACTGCGCTGATCTGATGGCAGGAGCCAGGTGCTTCTCCTGGTCTCCCATGGGGTGCAGGACCCAAGCACTTGGGCCATCCTCCACTGCACTCCCGGGCCACAGCAGAGAGCTGGCCTGAAAGAGGGGCAACCGGGACAGAATCTGGCGCCCCGACCGGGACTAGAACCCGGTGTGCCGGGTGGAGGATTAGCCTAGTGAGCCACGGCGCCGGCCAGCCCTTTAAGATAGTCTTATGCAAAGAGCAATCCTACAGTTGAGTATAAACATGTATTAACAAGATGGGAACAAATCAAAATTATTATGAGTGATTATCTTACAATTTTATAATATAAAAGTAATATTCAGATTTTAATTTTTCTTACAATGTGTGAGGATAAAGCAATTTTAATTTTTTAAAATTTATTTATTTGAAACCAGAGTGAGAGAGAGAGTGAGAGCGAGATCTTCCATCCACTGGTTCACTCCCCAGATGGCTGCAACAGCCAGAGCTGCGCCAATCTGAAGCCAGGAGCTTCCCCTGGGCCTCCCATGTAGGTGCAGGGGACCAAGAACTTGGGCCATCTCTGCTGCCTTTCCATGTGATTAGCAGGGAGCTGGATCGGAAGTGGAGCCATCAGCACTCGAACTAGCACCCATATGGGATATTGGCACTGCAGGTGGCAGCCTAATCAGCTATATCACAGAACTGGCCCCACTGAACTCCCAAAAATGATACAGTATTCTCCCAGAGTGTGAATATACCTGTACATTCACATATTACCTACATTACTGTTGTGTCTATCAGTCAGTTCAGATTTATTTATTTCTTATATTTAATTGCTTAAAATTTTCATGTGAAATTAGGCATCTTTGAGCATCTGAACTACTTCTTTGCATATAAGAAAAACAAACTGAATAAGAGACATCTTTTTAAAATCAGGATATATTTAAAAATACATTAATTATATCCCAATTATCAGAAAGATTTAAAAACAAAATCTAGGCTCATATATTTAATTAATTTTGTTAGTGATGCCAAGTTGTATGTTTGTGTACATACCTTGCATCATATAAATGCTGATCTACCTCCAATAAATTTAATGGACTTTTTATTTTTTTTGGAACAGAATCCATGTCTAGTTCATTTTTAGATCCCTTAGAGGGATGACCCGGCAGTACACCTTTAACCTCATATAGCAGGTGCTCTGTGAGGATTTGTTACATGACTGAATAAAACAGTGAAAGAAGACCACTCAAATGTAGCTTGAAATAGGTATTGTTAATAAAAGTCTCTCTTATTTGTACAGAAAATACAATGCCATGGTTTTAGTAAATTATTCATACTTACTAATTTACCGACATTTAACATCCAGAGCCTGTCCTAATTTCTATTCATTTAAAATATAAAGTGAGATAGCTATTGCAGCTTCATTTTATGGAAGAACCAAATCCATTACCCTCATAGTTAAGTTCATTTCTATTGTGTATGGCAGTAGTTCTGTACTCTGGAGTCCTTACTGAATTGAAGAGCAAATATATACATATGCTCTGTTGTGCCAGGGGGCACAAATTCTGTTTTGATTTACTCATGTGCAACTCCTATTAACACTGAGAGGAATTCAGGGCAAAGTTTAGTTTATTTTTCAAGGATCATGTTGTTACATATACCAAATAACACATGAAGTCTTTTAGACTATAAAACCAATGATGTGCAGCCACACACATTTAGGGTGCTCATTTAGCTTCTCATTGACTAAGTGTCTAAATAGTCTGACTCTTTCTTTATGGCACGTATTTTTGAAAGTAGGATGTGACAAAGAGAGGAATAAGATGAATATCTGGAACTAAGTACGGATATAGAAATTATGGGAAAAATTCAAATATTGAGATTTATATAATAAAACATGGTAAATGGCTGAAGGCATTATTTTCTTTGAAATATACAAAATATTCTACATGTGTTGGCCATAATCTTATTTGAGGATAGCCGGCCAGGCAAGATTAATACTGCCTACTTGTTCTGAATTTGGAGTTCAGAGAAGGTCATTAAAGTGTAATTTGGGGGTACTAAGAAGGCATGGGAGACAGGAAAAAAAGGTACAATAAGATTTCCTTTTGGATAATCCTTCTCTAAAATGTAGTCTTGTATTCCACTGTGAGTGACTGTTGGAAATAGCAACCTTAGACAGGTTCACACTCTTCACTGTCCTGGCCTGAGTCTCATCTCTACTACTCACCGTAACAAGGGAATAGATAGAGCAGGCCTTATTGGCTGTGATGTATGGACACAATAACGGAGTCTGTTCTCACATGTTTTGGCTAAACACATTACTAACTGCATAGCTTTTGGGAGGCTTTACCTCCCAAAGTAAGTTAGCGTTAGTCTTTTCTGCTCCAATTATTAATCACCTTGGGTTCAAAGAGATTGTCTTATCAGACTCTTCGATAATGTTCCCACTGGAATATAAATATGTATGCATTCACATTTAGTGGGAAATTAATACAGTAATAGCCTTTTAATTGTCTGTCAATGCTTTTAAATGAAAAGTGACATAACATCTCTTTAATACTTTTATACTGACTTGAAACACTTGATTCAAATTTCCATATATCTGGGGCTGGCATTGTTGTGCCATGGGTTAAGCTGCGGCCTGGGACACAGGCATCCTTTATCAGAGCAGCGTCCCAGATGCTCCACTTCCATTCCAGTTCTCTGCTGACGTACCTAGGAAGGCAGCCAAAAGTAGCCCCTGTGATTTGACCCCGACTGCCCATGTGGTTGGCCCTGGTGGAGTTTTTGGCCCCTGGACTCAGTCTGGCTCAGCACTGGCCACTTCAGTCTTTTGAGGAGTGAAGATCTCTCTCTCTCTCTCTCTCTCTCTTTCTCTCTGTCTCTCTGTCTCTCCTTCTCTGTGTAACTCTGCCTTTCAAATAAATAAAATAATTTTAAAAAGAAAATAAATTTCCATATATGTGAAAGGCAGCCTACCTTATCTGTCTTCAAATAGCGTAAATCTAGAGAGCCTAGTTCAAAGTTACTAGGTAATTCTGTCATTCTGTCTTAGCTCATGTAAGTATTTAGTGTGCCTCCCCCCTTTTTCATTCCTAGTTTCACATAGGTCCAAATCTGGACATACTGGAAGCCATTTTGCTACTTTGCTTGCTACCTTTCAGAATAGCCTGCTTTATATTTAATGTTACAGTATATATAGCCTATTCATAAGCAAAATGAAGAATAATGCACTAATTCTACAGCATTTTAAATTTGTCTTAGGGACCTAAGACAAAAGAATTATCATTTTAAAGTATAAGACTCTCTCCTTGGAATGAGCATTTTGCTTATCACTTATGATGTCTGCATCCCACATCTGAGAACATGGATTTGCTACCTGGCTCCAGCTCCTGACTTAGGCTGGCAGTGAACACCCTACAGACAGTGGCAATGGCTCAAATAATTGGGTCTCAGCCGCTTTATAGGAAAGGAAGGTACAATATATAATACAATATATTGTATTATATATATTATATATAATAAATACATATTTATTATATATATAATAAAAACAATGTTATCCACACATTCTTATAACAAAACAACTCCTATAAAGAAAATATCCAAGGGTAAGGAAAATATACTTTTTTTAATTAAGGGGAAAATCTAATTTGGGGGAGGAGGTGGTTGATAGAATAAAGGTAACCAGTATTAGAAACTCGAAAGTAGAAATCTTCAACTTACCTTTTTTTGTATTATAGATGAATGCATTTCACAGGGAGGCAATAACTCTCCAGAAAAACAAAAACAAAAACACAAAGGGTAAGAAAGCTGGAAACAATAAAACAGAGAGCTATATTTTTGGAATGCTTATTATGCACCATGGTCTGAATGTGTCCCCCCCAAAAGTATATGCTGAAACTAAATCACAGATGTGATAGTATTTTTTTAAGATTTTATTCAGCCGGTGCCGTGGCTCACTAGCCTAATCCTCCGCCTTGTGGCACCAGCACACCGGGTTCTAGTCCTGGTCGGGGCACCGGATTCTGTCCCAGTTGCCCCTTTTCCAGGCCAGCTCTCTGCTGTGGCCCGGGAGTGCAGTGGAGGATGGTCCAGGTGCTTGGGCCCTGCACCCCATGGGAGACCAGGAGAAGCACCTGGCTCCTGGCTTTGGATCAGTGCAGTGCGCCGGCTGCTGCGCGCTGGCTGCGGCGGCCATTGGAGGGTGAACCAACGGCAAAAGGAAGACCTTTCTCTCTTCTCTCTGTCTCTCTCTCTCTCTAGTGAGAGTCCACTCTGCCTGTCAAAAAAAAAAAAAAAAAAAAAGATTTTATTTATTTATTTGACAGGTAGAGTTACAGACAGTGAGAGAGAGAGAGAGAGAGACAGAGAGAAAGATCTTCCTTTTGTTGGTTCACTTCCCAAATGGCCACACCGGCTGGAGCTGCGGGGATCTGAAGCCAGGAGCCAGGTGCTTCCTCCCAGTCTCCCATGCGGGTGCAGGGCCCAAGCACTTGGGCCATCCTCCACTGCCCTCCCGGCCACAGCAGAGAGCTGGACTGGAAGAGGAGCAACTGGGACTAGAACCGGCGCCCATATGGGATGCCGGCGCTGCAGTGGAGGATAAACCTGGTGTGCCACGGCGCTGGCCCCACAGATGTGATAGTATTAAAGGGGTGGAATTTGGGAAGTAACTCAGCCATGAGGGCAGAACCTCAGTGTATTAGTGGCCTTGTAAAAGGGGCATGAGGGAGCTGTCTCCCTCTTTTTTGTACTCTTGTCCTCCCTTCTGGAAGCTGCAGGAACGAGGTACCATTTTGGTAGTAGAGAGCTGCCCTCACCAAACAATCTGCAAGTCTTTTCGATTCGGACTTCCCAGGCTCTACAACCATGAGAAATCAACTTCTATTGCTTACAAATGTGGTAGTTTGTGGTATTCCGTTATAGCAGTTATGTATTAGGCATATATGTAAGTATTAACTCATACAGTCCTTCCAGTGGCTATACCAGGGTAAAGCTAATGTGAATCTTTAACATCCATGTGATGTTGCAAACATGGAGAGCTTCAACGGCTTGCCCCAGGTCTAACAACCAGAAACTTGCTGAATTGGTTATCAACAGTCTGTGTCCATTGTCAGTATTCTCCAGTGTGATAAGTTCTATCTACAAGAGCCAAGAGAACAGAAGAGGCACTGGTCCAAATTAGAACCTAAGATACCTAAAGACTGAACAATGGCAAATATTCCAGTTTTCTAAGAAGTAATTAGGTTACAAAATATTTCAGAAAGCAGTTTTAAATAGTTGAATAAATTATGTTTGAAATAATTAGAAAATATTGATCAAATACTGTGAATATTATTTCAAGAATGATGTCAAACTCAATTCACTTTTATCTTTATAATTGAAAGAACATGACTATAACAGAAGTATTTCATTCCTTCATAGAATTGCTTTGTCTTATTAAAGATAACACAAAAAGTTACAGAATCATCTTAAAAATGAAAATTCGGCCGGCGCCGTGGCTCACTAGGCTAATCCTCCACCTGCGGCGCCGGCACACCAGGTTCTAGTCCCAGTTGCGGTGTCAGATTCTGTCCCGGTTGCCCCTCTTCCAGGCCAGCTCTCTGCTGTGGCCCGGGAGTGCAGTGGAGGATGGCCCAAGTGCTTGGGCCCCGCACCCGCATGGGAGACCAGGAGAAGCACCTGGCTCCTGCCATCGAATCAGTGTGGGGCGCCGGCCGCAGTGCGCCGGCCGCGGCAGCCATTGGAGGGTGAACCAACGGCAAGAGGAAGACCTTTCTCTCTGTCTCTCTCTCTCACTGTCCACTCTGCCTGTCAAAAAAAAAAAAAAAAAAAAATTCAGTCGAACCTTGATGACTGGATTCCTAGAAAGTTGTCATGTCTCAAAAGTGTATGTATCAATACAAAGATGGCTGCGTGGGTATTTTTAGATTATGTGCGAAAAAGTTCTGTATTTGCATTAAAATTGCCTACTAATCAAGTATAGGGTAGAAAGGATTAAGTAGAAATTCATGTTAAAAAGGCCAAAAGCCTTACTGAACTAAAAGTCTGATGTCATTCAAAGAACACTATTGTCAAAATTGCTAATGCATTTGCAGAGTGTGCAGTCAGAAGCAGTATATAGAACAGAGAGGTAATAGATCATTCTCAGTGTCCTGAATCTCAGCTATATCTAAAAAGTGTATTACTCCCTTTAAGCAAGGTGTGATAGACAAAACATGTATGGGTACAAAGTGAGCACCATCTACTCAGGATGGGAGCCAGCTAGACTAATGTCTATCAGTCGAGTATCAATCTGCTTCCAAGTGTGGGATAATCAAGCTACTAGAGTGCTGAGTTTAAATTGTCCATATTTCTGTTTTATCTTTATTGTAATGAAGGAGCTTCCTCTTTGCCTCCTGCTGTGCACTTTTGGAGGGTCTTCCATATGGTTGCTGCTAAGTATTTTGGCATTTTCCCAACTGTTACAATTGGGTCAGTAGGGGGGACTGTGTGGGAGTAATAAAACAAGGGTGACTGCAGCAGGGAGGAGCACCATTACCACCCTCATAGCTGCTTATAGCCTCTCTCGGGTTCAAGCACAAGCTCTGTGCCATTTATTAACAACAGGCAGCCTGGGCAAACTGCCTTTTTGCCATAGAGCTTACTTAAGGAGAAGCCTAGGCCGTGGGTACAAAGACGAAGTCTTCTTTACAATTTCCTCTTATTGTTTCCTCACTTCACCTCCTACAAGAAACAGACTAACTGGAGAAGGAGCAAGATGATTTCATCTTGCCTAATACTATGTCATTATGACAACATGTTCTTGAACAGGCTCTGCCACATTTTAGCAACAGTAGATATTACAGGGGCCAGGAGGGCTTTGATAGCTTCTAAAGGGAAAAAAAATGGGGACAGCCCCCCATTGAAATTCTTGAGACATGACTCATAAATGCATAAGTGACTTATAATATTGACATTGCCATTTGTGTTTTCCATAACAGAAATCAGTTATGAAAAATAAACTGTTTTTATCCTGCAGAAAGCAGTGGTGCTTAAAGTAGCAGATTCTGAGGAAAGCAAAGTCAAGATTCTCAACACTGAAATAATAAACATATCTCTGTGTATAAATGTACATATTTTGCCATTTACATAACTATATTTTATGTAATATACACCATATATTAATGTTACATAAATATATATTTTGTACAATATATTTATATACAAATATCAATATTTTCCATATTTAATCTTATACATGCAAGGACTAACATTATGCTTTACCTTTATCCTTATGTGGAGGCTTTTTTGTACATCAAAGACCATCATGCAGCTGCACGGGTTCAAATAGGTTCACAAGGCAGCCATGAATAGAGTTAAGGAGCACTGACACTGGTATACAAACATGTACCGATACATATTTTTTCATGTTTCCAGCATTAAACAAAAAATGTTGTGTTAAGACACCTGCTCCCATTTCCTTTCCGCCCGCGCCGACCCAGACCCTGAGCTCCACACCCCGGAGCCTCACAGCTGGTCGTCGGAGCCCAGCCGGGCAGGTGAACACCGCGGGTCCCGCAGTCTGCGCCAAGTGGGCGCCAGAAACCTCCCTGAGCTAGTCGGTGCGCCAAAGGCGTGAACCCCGGGAACAACCCACCACAGGGCGCTAACTCGGCATTCCCACACGACTCTGCTCTTATTCGCGTGGGATGGACAGCAACGGGGTCGCCATCAGTCAACACAGAGAGGATCCAGGCTTGTTAGAGACGACTCACACCTGTCCCAGGGTGCTGGGATGGCCACTCATTTTAAGCTTCTCCACTCTCTCCTACCCGGGGGCAGGACACTAAGCGAGGCTCATCCCTGGCCGCAATCAGTACGGAACCCGCACCCTGTAGTCCCCGGCCGTCTCCAGCGCTGTCCTACCCCCTTAAGCCCCGGTCGCGCCAGGAAGCCACCCGGTTAGCTGCAGGAATCCGCAGCCGCTGAAGTGAGGGCAGCGGCGCGGCTTCAGCGCCGCAGTGCGCAGGCGCAGGCCGCAGGGCGCGCAGGCGCCGCCTAGAAGTGACTTCTCCAAAAAGTGTCTTAGTTCCCGGTCACCTGAGCTCCGGGCGACGCGGCTGCGGGAGCTGCGGGGATACACGCCCTCCGCTGGTCCTGCTTGGCGACCCTGCGCTCTTCCGCCTGTTTGTCCGCCCCGCCACCCAGGACCCTCCGAGGGTCTCTCTGGTCCCTCCTGTCCATTTCTCAGCAGCAGGCCGGACCGGGCCGAGCCGGGCCGCCGGGGCGCGGTCCCTGACCATGGCGTCCCTCTTCAAGAAGAAAACCGTGGATGGTGAGTTCCAGGCCGGGCTCTGCGTCTCCTCGGCCCCGTGTCCTTTCGGGGGCTCCGGGAGGCGATTCTGGTTGCATTTCCCCGGGGGGGCGGGGCTGGATCAAGTAGCCCCACAGGTGACCGCCCTCGCTGCGTCACTTCTCTGCTTCCCCATCTCTGGCGACCCTGCCCACTGCAGCCTCACCTGGGCAGCCTGGTTTCCTGCCGACTCTCCTCCAACCTCGCGTTTTCCTTAGTAGTATCCCGAGTGTTTCCTGGAGCCGGCGGATGTCGCTGGCGCATGAGTGTATTACACTTGGCGATTTAGTGGATTTCTTGTTGGCACTGTCTGCTTGATTTATTTCACCTTCAGTTTGGAGATGTACTACCTGAAGGCTTCCACACCGGAAACCTGTGCGTTTGGGTGGGGGTGGGGATGGAGGTAGGAAGATGGATTCCAGTTACCAGAGGAACTTGGGGCTGCACCGCTTGGCCCAGTTAGAAACACCTCCCTCAGAAGAGCTGTGAATTACGTGGTGCCTGATCCACTCCTGTAGAAAAGTAAAAGGAAACCCCAGGGAAGTGCCTGGAGTTAATTTCCATAATGGATTTCTTTCCCTCTGATTATCTTTTGCTAACTAGAAAGTGAAAGATGTCATATCTGTTATCGGCACACAAGTTTAAATGTTAGTGATACCTGCATGTTTTCAGACGTTCAGCTCAATGTCGTGTTAGAGGGAAAAAGCAAATGCGCCGGAATTGAGTTTTGTGGTGCTCACATGCAGTGCCTGTAGTGTTTATTTACGTAACACTGACTTGATATTTTTCTTCTCTGGTACCAGAAAGATAAATTGATTCAAGTTATTTAAAAATCGTGTTACTCTAGGTTCTAGGTAGTTGCTGGTTCAGGAAAAGAATCGCTTCTTTGTAAGAGTCTGTCTCAGCCACAAAAGGAGCTAGTGGTAGCTAGACTGTGATTGGTACAGACAGGGTGTTCAGTTCAGACCCGGGGGTAACTCCTTCATTCCTTTGTGTGGACTCTTCCAATGCTAGGAGAATTATTTTGGGGAGGATAACAAAGACACGGTGTTTGCCCAGCCACTTTACCTTCCACTTTGGCACATGCCTTTCCACCCTAATGTATCACACAGTCTAATGCAGTTTTGCATAGTCTGTTTGCAAACAAAAAATTTTTTGGTTTCCTGACTTTTTATTAATTGAGCTGCCAACTTAGTATAGGATGTGATGCAGTTCCGTGAAATGGGTTTTGTGAGTGTTTTTCCTGAGAATGCTGTTTAATCTTTGACACTTTGTTTTTTGAGTACCAATGTTGTGATCTGCAGTTCATTTATAGTACTTCCAAAGTACTATAAAATTCTTCCTCCTTTAGTTTTACATAGTGAGATTTTTTTTATTGAGTTTTATCTGTGAGAATTTACTGAACAGGGGAAAAATGATTTCATCTCCTTTACTGTGTTATTATAAACTCAATTTAATCTTTTTTAACATTGAAACTGAACATCCCAGTGGTCATTGCTTAGTATCTGATCAATATTTCCAAAGACATAAATCTTAGTTCTGTGCTTACTGGTGCTTTTGGTAATCTAGTGACTGCTATACATATTGAAGTGTAAAGAACCAGCAAGAGACAAGAGGATGTGCAGTGAGGATGTTCAACTGTATACTCATTTGCAGTTGAGTTAATCCCCCCAAGAAATACTGGTTTTGCTTAATACATTAATCAATGAGGAAAAAGTCCTGAGAATGTTTGCTAGGAACTATGCCACTGAATTGAAGATCTGTGTGTGATGTTTCTGAATGTAAATTTGGCTAGCGTGTACATTACGACCACTAGCCAACCTGCCTGCTTGCTGGTTTCTTAAATTACATTGTCAATTACAATCATAACCACCTCCTAATTATAGATCTGTGTTTTCATTATTTTGATGTAGAGCTTCACTGATGCTTTTACTCCTTGTTTTATTAAAAGGAAGGATTTTTGTTTTGTTTAAAAAGTGACAGCATTCTTCTTAGCAGTAATGAGGCCATATATTATGAAATTTAATGTATTTTTATGCATTTCTCTCAGATCCTTGGACGTGTTGACTATTGATCATAAGATCTTTTACTGTATGCTGATTTTTTTATCTGTTCCAGCTATAATGAAATTCTGATATATGATTACACCAGAAATATGTAACTGCTTGTAGATCTGGCGAATAATAGAATCTTTTTGTCTCTTTGGATTGGCTGGAAGAATTATATACTATATCATTAAAGACTACTGTACATGTAAATTAAAAAGGGAGACAACATTACAGCACTTATTACTATTCACAGTTATGTTTAATTCATTTTTGACACAAAGATGAACAAGTCTCTACAGTATATACTTTATTCCAGAAATTAATGAGAGGTGTATCTCAATACCAGTGAACAGACTCTTGGATTTGAGATTACAATATTGAGTACTGGTTTTCCTTTTACTGACTTTTAGGCTACATACATATATACAGTGTAATGTGTTAATCTACAGTTTCTCCACTCCCACCTCTCACCCCTCACCCACAAACAATGTGGAGTAGCAGTGACACATTTGTTGAAGCTAAGTGTGAACCTGAAAATCAGGATGCCATGAGGAGTTGTCATCAATGCATAACTAAACCGGTCTCTTAAAAAATGAACTGCTTTGGGGCTGGCACTGGGGTGTAGGAAGTTAAGCCTCTGTTTGCATTTTGGCCCATCCCATATGGGCGCTGGTTGGGGGGTTCGCGTCCCAGCTGCCACCACGTCTGATCCAGTTCCCTGCTAATGTGCATAGGAAAGCAGCGGAGGATGGCCCAACTACTTGGGCCCCTGCAGTCACCTGCGAGACCCAGAAGATGCTCCTGGATCTTGGCTTTGGATTGGTCCAGCCCTGGCCGTTGAGGCCATTAGGGGAGTGAGTCAGCAGATGAACGATCTCTTTCTCTTTCTCTCCTTCTTTCTCTGTAGCTCTGGCTTTCAAATAAACAAACAAATCTTAAAAAAATAGTGATGAAGTTCTTTAAAACACTAATTTTTGTCTTTTATAAGTGAAGACAAATTTGAGGCCCTATGCTAAGCTAACACTCTGTTAGACATTTTGCATACAGTATGTTATTTCATTCCCATCGCCTATGAGATAACTACTGTTATTATCCCCATTTTATAGATGAGGAAATTAAGAGACAAAGGACTAAGTAGCTTGTTCAAGATTGTACAGCTCTTAAGTATTTGATACTACTGTTTGAGTGTTATGATTGTTAGTGACTGATCCTAGTGCGCAGTTTGGTTTTCTTGTTAAGTGCATGAAATTCTCAACTTTTGATGTGTATCTTGAAACTGTTACCTTTGATTTTTTTTTTTTTTTTTTTTTTTGGACAGGCAGAGTTAGACAGTGAGAGAATCATACTCCTCTCAGGATTAGGATTCAAACCCCAATTTCTAATGCTGTAAGAACTGGAAATAAATTTCCTGTTCCTGACTGTCCCTGGGCTCCAATTTTTTTTTAAAAGACTTATTTATTTATTTATTTGAAAGGCATTGTTAGAGAGAGCAAAAGAGACAGAGAGACAGAGAGAAAGAGAGAGAGAGAGAATCTTCCATCTTCTGATTCACTCCTCGAATGGCTGCAATGATCAGGATGGCCAGGCTGAAGCCAGGAGCCAGGAGTTTCTCTGGATCTCCCACAGGGGTGCAGGGGTCCAAGGACCTGCCATTCTCTGTTGCTTTCTCAGGTGAATTAACAGGGAACTGGATGGGATGTGGAATTGCCAGGACTTAAACGGACTTAAACTGGCACCCATATGGGGTGCTAGCGCTGCAGGCCATGGCTTAGCCCACTGTGCCACAGCACCAGCACCAACCCCAACATTTTTTAGGAAGCATGGTCCAATCTCTTTTTGTTCTAATTCTGAAACCTCTTGAAAAAGTAGTGATGTGTCCTATTTCTGTTTCTTTGCGTCTTAAATGCCCTCCACTCTGTAGTAGGGTGCGTTCCATCTGATGTGAGATCTTGCTTAGATCAAAAGTGACTTTTAGGGGCAAGCATTTAGCCTAGCATTTATAATATTGGTTAAGATGCCCATGTGCCATACTGGATTGCCTAGATTTGATGCTCAGCTTTGGCTCCTGATTTAAGCTTCCTGCAGTTGGAGACCCTGGGAGGCAGCAATATTGAAACTCTGATACCAACAGAGTCAAGTGGGAACTTGTTAATAATGGATGTATGACTGTCTTTGATCTGGCCCTTGCCAGTATGTACTTTTTCTTACCCTGGAATATTTTTTACTTATGATGCCCTAGTGCCCTAGTGCCTGGAATTCTGTTTTTTTTTTTTTTTTTTTTCCTTTTCTCTTACTTACTTGAATTATCTCAGTTTATTTTCCTGCTCCAGGGAATCTTCTTTGATGGGACTGCAAATTTTGTTAAGTATCTCAACTCCTTGTGTTCCAGTTTTTAGCATGTGTACTTGTCTTACCTAGAATCAATCTGCTTTCTCACTTGTGTTACCTGGAATCAAAATAGAACTTTCCCCCACACTTCCAAAGTTGAATTA